CGCGTGCATGCATGCGCGCGTGCATGCATGCGCGCGTGCATGCATGCGCGCGTGCATGCACGCATGCGGGCGGGCGGGCGGGCGGGCATGCATGCGGGCGTGCTGCTGCGGGCGTGCATGCGTGCGCGCGCGCTGCTGCGTGCACGCGTGCATGCGTGCATGCATGCACGGGTGCACGCATGCAAGGGCGCATGCAGGGCCTCGCGAGGTGCTTGTTGTGTGTGTAGAAATCACTCATAGGGATTCATGTCCACCCGCAGCAGTCCAGCGACGAGGACGCGGCCATTTCGGATGGCTCGGGGCTGTCGGACTCTCCGGGGCGGCCGGCGAAGGAGGGCCGCGGCGAAGAATCGGACGCAGCAGAGGCTTCTTGACTCTCCCCAGGTCTCCCGCTGCTGCTGCTGCTGCTGCGGCGCGCCGCGCCGCGGCCGCAGCAGCGGGAAGCTGCTCCGTAGCCTCCCTGTGTGTAGGAACAGTGCAGCGCAGCAGCAGGCAGGCAGATCCGGACTTAGCCGCGCACTCTGTAGTTCCCCGCATGCACGAGCGCCGCAAATAGGCCCTTTCTTCCGCAGCAGTTCCCGCCGCCGGCCGCGCTCCCCGTGCAGCAGCCGGCGGCGGCGCTGCTGCAGCTCGTGCTGCTGCTGCAGTCCGGGAAACTCGCCCGGCACTCTCCGGCAGCACGCCGCGGGCTTTGTAAAGTTTTTTTGCCACCGAACAGCCGCTCTTTAGCATGCGTTTCGTGACACTTGCGCGCGTGCGCCACGCAGTCCACGCAGCTGGGGTGTCTTGACACCGCAGCCTCGCGCCGTTCAAGAAACGCGCGAAGGCCGCACGAAGCGCCATATCGCGGCGAACAAAGTGTCCGAAAGTGTTGCAGAGTTATTTTCCGCGAAAAAGTGCTGGAATGGCAACTGCATTCGTGTTTCTGCTGGCGACAGCAGCCGCAGCGTGCTGGTGTTCCGGCGCGGCGGCGTGGACGCCGTGGGCGAAACCAAGCCCCCCGGGCCCGCAGGTAGGCGGAAAGCGAAAACTTGTTGAAACTTCTGCAAAGTCGTTCGAAAGGGGCCGCGAGACCGGCGGCTGCAGCTCCCCTGGATAGCGGTAAGCGCGCG